GTCTCCTGTGAACTCTTCTCATGTTGGAAATCTAAGTTTTGTTTGTGTCATTATTGGATTAATAGCCATCTCTTTAAACTATAATCTTCCTAAGAGGGGGACTCTATTTTTGGCATATAGGAGAGAGTAAATAAGCCTTTATTAAATTAATGAAAGAAAGAACAGACACATAAGTGAATGAGTGAATCAATGAATGGGAGGCACTTGAACTTGATCAAGACTTTCCAATTATATTCAGAGTAAACAGAGTTGGAACCCATGTTCTGAAGCTTAATGGGCCAATGAAAGGCAGTGATGTACAAAGGAAAAACCTCATTTTAGAGCTGCATTCTTTTCATTTAAATTTTCACAGCAAAGGGAGAGTCTCCTTGGTCTTTCATGGACTGAAGTTTGGTGGTAAAGGGAAATGTGGTACATAGAAGACACTTAAAGATCAATTTCATCTTTAAAGTTTAATGAAGGACAGAAAGGATGAGTCCTAATTTGTTGGAGTACACCAAATTCAGGTAAATACTATAGCAGGTTTTTACCTAATAGGGTCAGCTTTTTTGTCATTGGGGAGTCTCCCTTAGATGTAGGTATTGTGTCTCTTTTCACTAGTTTTAGGATTCATTTACATATTTTTGAAAAAAGAAAACTAAAACAATTTTTTTATATTAAAAGGCAGTACTTACAGACTGTATTTTCTTTTTTCCATTCTTCTTTCTCTCCTGTGAAAGTCTCAACCACTACTGTGGTGACATCAGTTACAAATTTCTTTCCACTTTGGAAATCAGAGTAAAGGACAAGAAGAAGCTATGAAAGCATGATTATCTTTCTGGAGAACCTTTGCGGCAGGGAGGGCAGGGTAGAGAGCAGGGAAGGTAGGTTCACAGGCAGTCTTCCACATACTGCCTGATTTTCCTTTGTTTTCACTTTGTTTTGTTACCTACCCCACCAGTAATTCAGAGCAATCATAGTGTCTGGCATGAATAAACCCATAGAAAACGGTGGCCATCTTCTCCATTTTATTGGTTACTAAGCATCAGCTTAAAAGCTGCCATTTCCATTGTTGTTGTTTACTCACTAAGTTGTGTCCAAATCTTTTTGCAACCCCTTGGACTGTAGCCTATCAGGCTCCTCTGTCCAGTGGATTCTCCAAGCAAGAATATTGGGGTGGGTTGCCACCCCCTCCTCCAGGGGATCTTCCAACCCAGAGATCAAACACCTGTTTCTTATGTCTCCTGCATTAGCAGGTGGGTCTTTACCACTGGTGCAACCTGGGGAAGGGAGTGGATCCCATTTCCTCCTCCAGAGGATCCTCCTGACCCAGAGATCAAATGCCTGTCTCTTATGTCTCCCGCATTAGCAGGTAGGTCTTTACCACTGGTGCAACCTGGGGAAGGGAGTGGATCCCATTTCCTCCTCCAGAGGATCCTCCTGACCCAAGGATCAAACCCATGTCTCCCACTTGGCAGGCCGATTCTTTACCACTGAGCCACCAGGGAAAGCTATTAGTTAAAATAGATAAAGGATAATTGGAGAAAACTCGGTGCTTCTCCACCGTCACCAGAGCTCTGCAAGGCAGCAGCTGGGAATCTGAGGAGGTTCAGAAAGACGCACGCCAAGCTCACAGCTGTGTGGCCAGCACACGGCAGAGCTATACTCGGCTGACGCCCGTCACGGCTCGCAGGGCTTCTGTCCCTGCGTGACCGTGGCCACACTGTCCCGGCATGAAGGCCACGCCTGTTCCGCCGAAGGGGTGAGTGAGAGGACTGGCAGAAGGCTATGTGTGATCTGACGCGTGCTTATTCTTTGCTGGTTACTGATAAAATTCTTCTTCCTCACAAGTTGGTCACTGATGCTTGCTTGAGGCAAATACATGGTTCCTGTATGCCCTCTGGGTTCAGGAGGGAGACTCAGGAAAGGTGCAAAGTAGCAAAGTACCATGGGGTCACAAAGCGTCGGACACGACCGAACGACTGAACAGCAACAATAAGAATGAAAATGCTAAAGGAAACTGATCCCGAGAGTGGGAGAGACTCTTTCTTTCCATCTTACACAACCTAAAGCTCCTAATCTGGAACCCAGAACTAAAGAGATCATGTGTGGGCTATTTAGGGAACTTAACTACCATATACAATGTTATTTCTAGATGACAGATTCCAAACAACTAACGTAGTAACAGATGCTTAGAACACATTCTCCTTACTAAGTGGAGTGTTACCTAGAGTTTCCCTAAACACCTTTATATGTAGATAGAAATTTGGATCATACTTCTGTAATTCTAATAAAGGACAGAAATTGTAGGGACCTACCAGAAGCAGAAGATATTAAGAAGAGGTGGCAAGAATACACAGAAGAACTGTACAAAAAGATCTTCATGACTCAGATAATCACGATGATGTGATCACTCACCTAGAGCCAGACATCCTGGAATGTGAAGTCAAGTGGGTCTTAGGAAGCATCACTACGAACAAAGCTAGTGGAGGTGGTAGAATTCGAGTTGAGCTATTTCAAATCCTGAAAGATGACAAGGTGAAAGTGCTGCACTCAATATGACAGCAAATTTGGAAAACTCAGCAGTGGCCACAGGACTAGAACAGGTCAGTTTTCATTACAATCCCAAAGAAAGGCAATGCCAAAGAATGCTCAAACTACCGCAGAATTGCACTCATCTCACATGCTAGTAAAGTAATGCTCAAAATTCTCCAAGCTAGGCCTCAGCAAAACATGAACTTCCAGATGTTCAAGCTGGTTTTAGACAAGGCAGAGGAACCAAACTGCCAACATCCACTGGATCATCAAAAAAGCACAAGAGTTCCAAAAAAACATCTATTTCTGCTTTATTGACTATGCCAAAACCTTTGACTGTGTGGATCACAATAAACTGTGGAAAATTCCTAAAGAGGTGGGAATACCAGACTACCTGACTTGCCTCCTGAGAAATCTGTATGCAAGTCAGGAAGCAACAGTTAGAACTGGACATGGACCAACAGACTGGTTCCAAACAGGGAAAGGAGTACGTCAAGGCTGTATGTTGTCACCCTGCTTATTTAACTTATATGCAGAGTACATCATGAGAAACACTGGGCTGGATGAGCACAAGCTGGAATCATGATTGCCAGGAGAAATATCAATAACCTCAGATATGCAGATGACAGCACCCTTATGGCAGAAAGTGAAGAAGAACTAAAGGGCCTCTTGATGAAAGTGAAAGAGGAGAGTGAAAAAGTTGGCTTAAAGCTCAACATTCAGAAAACTAAGATCATGGCATCTGGTTCCATCACTTCATGGCAAATAGACAGGGAAACAGTGGAAACAGTGGCTGACTTTATTTTTCTGGGCTCCAAAATCACTGCAGATGGTGATTGCAGCCATGAAATTAAAAGACGCTTACTCCTTGGAAGGAAAGTGATGACCAACCTAGACAGCATATTAAAAAGCAGAGACATTACTTTGCCAACAAAGGTCCATCTAGTCAAGGCTATGGTTTTTCCAGTGGTCATGTATGGATGTGAGAGTTGGACTATAAAGAAAGCTGAGCACTGAAGAATTGATGCTTTTGAACTGTGGTGTTGGAGAAGACTCTTGAGAGTCCCTTGGACTGCAAGGAGATCCAACCAGTCCATCCTAAAGGAGATCAGTCCTGGGTGTTCATTGGAAGGACTGATGTTGAAGCTGAAACCCCAATATTTTGGCCACCTGATGTGGAGAGCTGACTCATTGGAAAAGACCCTGATTCTGGGAAAGATTGAGGGCAAAAGGAGAAGGGGACGAGAGAGGATGAGATGGTTGGATGGCATCACCGACTCGCTGGACATGGGTTTGGGTAAACTCTGGGAGTTGTTGATGGACAGGGAGGCCTGGCGTGCTGCAATTCATGGTGTCGCAAAGAGTCAGACCTGACTAAGCAACTGAACTGAACTGAAAGTAGAGTTTACATGATATTTTGCTTAGAACAAAATTGTTCCTCATTTTGAGAAAGGGAGAAGGACTGTTACATTCATAAAAAGAATTTTTCCCTTTTTTATGGGCTTTGGAAATGTATGGACAACTATACTAGAAGTCTGGAAGACTCTGAAAACATCAAAATGGAAGGTATTAATTGAACTGGATGTGCTTCCTGACTTCTGTCTTTGCCTCATGTATTAAGGCTTTGTTAGTTTTTGTTTGCTTGTTCTGAAGGCCTGGGGCTATTTATTTTTCAGAGGCTTAGATTCCTTTTTTGACTGAGCTTTTACTGCAAATAGACAAAGTTCCTGCTCTGTACCACTGCTTTTACTAGCTTAGAAGTTTATTAATATGCTTATTTAAATCCCTAGCACATGCATGTATGTAAAGCATACTTTGATTTGTAAATATTACCTTTTTTATGGAATATAACTGTGCCTTTTGCCACTAGAACAAATTGATTTCATCTGCTGTCTCATCTTTAAACCTATTATTTACCCAACTTTTAGCTTTTTCAGTATAATGTAAAAATGTCTCACTACTACAAGATTAATAAACAAAGCAGAAAAGACTGCTTATGAAAAAATACTTTAGAAATCCAGTCCTTTTGATTAGTAACCAGCCCTACTACCAGAAATACTTCAAAGCTCTCTCTAAACATTGAATTTTCATCAGTGATGCTGCAAGCCTTAGCTCTCATCTTTCATGCTTACCATGCAATAACTTCAAAAGGATAAAAAGAAAGAATGGTAATCTCTCAAAGCACCACTGTCTAGGGTCAGTCATGTTGTCTTTAGTTATCATGCATTCACAAGCAGATAATTGCTTCATTACATTATGCTTTAATAAATATAGTAATTAACATTTTGTTACAAAAAAACCGAAAAAGCCAATAGTCAAACCATTCAGAAATGAAATCCAGAGCCCAGGGGATTTCTAGAAGAAAATGAAAAAGAATTAGACAGCGTCAAATATAGACCTCTTCAAAGGGAAAGAGATCATTTAAACTTGCCTTTTACTTACTGAAATACATTCTGCATATTTTATTGCTTTTGTCATCTTGCTTGTTATAATCCAGCCAGTGAATGTTCAAAGAACATAAAATCCTACAAATAAATAAATGGAATATGAGTGAACTGACAAAAAACCAACAATTAAGATCAAGAGTCTTACATGGAAGCTTTGATTATATAAGGCAATTATGTTTCCCAGTGGTGTTCCAGGAGCATGTGATTTATCAGGAGGATAAAAATTAAAGTTTTAAGCTTCATGACACTCACATGTCTAATTAGCAGAGTTTAAGTAACTTGGAAACATTATCTGAATCAGCATGATGTCACCAGGCAAAATTTGGGGTGATTAAGACTTTTTAGAATTAGATTTTTGGATAGTCTGGGTCAGCATGAGAAGCTGTAATAGACACGGACCTTTAAACAAGAATAAGACACGTCATCATGGACCGTGTGGTTGGTAACTCAACGTTCATCTGAGAAAGTACTGAAAACTGTACCAGAGGGAACTTGGCGGATCATGCAGTGGTAGTCTCAAACAAAAGACCAAATCACTTGTGAACACTTGTGAATTTTGCTGTTTGGATTAGGGAATATCCTCCCACCAGCAACTTGCTAAAGATTTCTGAGCACAAGGTAATAAAATGGAGACAGCATTTACAAATTAAAAGCATAATTCTTGGTGACAAATTGTTTTAAAAGCTAAAGGCCAAGGGTGAGTGATAGTTACTCAGTTATGTCTGACTCTTTGTGACCCCGTGGACTGTAGCCTGCCAGGCTCCTTTGTCCATGGAATTCAGGCAAGAATACTGGAGTGGGCTGACATTTTCTTCTTCAATATTGGCCAAGAGCAAAGTGCAAATATTTTATAATATTATGGTAAAATTATGGTAAAAAGGAAAAGCAATGGATGGATTGCTGTCTGATAGTCTCAGTGAGTATGTTTATCTCTCAGACCCTGGAGTGAAAAAGTTATCTTTTCAGATAATTGGGGTGTTACTTTGATCAGTGCTATAGTCATAGGGAATTGTTGACATTTTTGCCATCAGCTTGTTCTTAATACATAAAATACATATGTAGGGCAGATTCAAGGCTTCCCTGGTGGCTCAGTGTGGTAAAGAACCCACCTGCCAAGCAGGAGATACACGTTTGATTCCTTGGTCAGGAAGATCCCCTGGAGAAGAAAATGCCAACCCACTCCAGTATTCTTGCCTGGGAAATCCCACGGACAGAGGAGCCTGGTGGGCTACAGCCCATGTAGATGCAAAAGAGTTGGACATAATTTAGCAACTAAATAGAAGCCGCAGCTGGGCAGATGAAAGGTAATATATTGTTATATAAACAGCAAATAAGGGGACTAACCAGAAGGCCAAATTCAGGTTTGGGGAAAAGGGCGGGGGGCTGTCTATTGCATATGTTTGGTGTCAAATGCAGAATGGCCAGAAGATAGAAGGGAGTAGGAACTGACAAATTAAAAGCCTTGTTAAACAGATAAGGAGAATGGAAAAATGAAAAAGTATGTGGTGACAGGAAAGATTGACTGGACTTGATTACATTTATAGATGAAAATGGAAATTAAGAGTAAGAGACAACTTAGTATAAAAGCTCAGCACTCTGTGTATCGATATTAATTCTACCTCTAACCATGATAGGGAATCAATAAGTTAAAACAATTTCTCTAAAGCTGCTGTCAGAAAAAATGCTACTATATTTATTTTTAATTAAACTCTAAGTATCTATCAGTGCCATCACCAAAGAATTATTTTTAGTTAATATAACTCTCAAGTGTCTCTAGAAGAGCCTAAGTAAATAGGACCACATTTCTTCCCCACAGTAGCACATATTAACATAACCATAAGATTTAGGATCCTAAAGCCTTGAAGAATAACATGAGAGGAAGAATGTAGGTTTACTTTAAAATTTCATGAACTCCTGTGAGTGCAAAAGCTGAGAAAGGTAAGCAATGAGGGAAAAATTAGAAGGAAAGTGGGGAACAGGGAAAATCAGGTCAGGGTTTGGCACAAGTATTACTTGACTTCTATTCTGTCACCACCAATCAGAAGAAAATGCTTTTGATGCAATTGTTAAATTGAGAAGAAAAGACAAAGACATCATATCTTTGTAACAATACAAACTGCTGCATATTAACTCATCTCTGTTTACTCGTGTAAACATGAGTGTACTTATTGGAAGGGCAAGAAAACTGTACTTTTCACATTTTGAATATCACCTGACTCCTCGGTAAGCAATTAAACAGCCCTGAACCTTACCCAGGATAAACAGTGTGATTATTTCTGTTTACATAGTTTTCACTGGAAGTGAAAATAAGACAAGCGTTGAGTCGAAAGAGAAGAACAACTCAAATACTGAGAAATGATGAGTAGGATGTAGATTGGGAACCCATCCTTGAGAAGAGGGGTTTGAGGGCCACTGGAGGAAGCCTACCTAACAGCCTGACTTCTAAACACTGTTGGCCACAAACTAGCCTTCCGTGTATAAAAGTGGCTCTGTGGGGTAAAAACTATGAAAAACAGGATGGTTCTATAATAGTTGACAAGTGAAAAGGAAAGAAATAAACCACTTCAATCTTTAAAACCACACTTACAAAAAGAAAGCAAGCACCGATCATGGCTGCTTTGACTGTCACATCGAGATCTGCAGGAACGTGAATCCCAAAGTTGTCGGCATTGGTGAAAACATCGTTCACAAAACCTGACCAGTACTTGGAAATCTTTCCAATTGTAAGCTTTTCATTAATGGTCTTCACCTTTGAAAAGAAAATAAGAGGCTGTAAATTTGAAGGTTAAACCTACGATTTTACATTTCTCCGTGTTTACTTCACGAGATATAAGAATAATTTTATTCATCATCTTTAAATGACAGTTCAATGGCACTCATTCCTTTATATAATCTTAGGTTTGTCAACTTAACTTTCCAGTTTGTTATTCAGGAATTTTGCTTCTCTGACATTTTTTTAACCATCGTAATGTCTTTTTTTCTCCTTTCTGTATGCAGACAGAATTTAACTGCAATACGTCATTAAGGTCAGACTGCCACAAGATGGCAGCAGGGACATAGTTTCAATTACATAGTCTAACCATAATGATAACCCTTCTACCTGAGGTCCACATTTTAAATTTGAATTCTTCATGCAAAAAAAAGAAAGAAAGAAAAATATTTTTGAGAAGGATTTTAGAGGAAATTTTTTAGATTAAATTAATTTCTACATATAATTTTTTTTTATTGCTAAGATTTTATAATTACTAATTTGCTTAAATGTTATTAGTTCAGTTCAGTCGCTCAGTTGTGTCTGACTCTTGTGACCCCATGGACTGCAGCATGCCAGGCCTCCCTGTCCATCACCAACTCCCAGAGTTTACTCAAACTCATGTCCACTGAGTGGGTGATGCCATCCAGCCATCTCATCCTTCGCTGTCCCCTTCTCCGTCCCACCTTCAACCTTTCCCAGCATCAGGGTCTTTTCCAGTGAGTCAGTTCTTTGCATCAGGTGGCTAAAGTATGGGAGTTTCAGCTTTAGCATCAGTCCTTCCAATGAACACCCAGGACTGATCTCTTTTAGGATGGACTGGTTGGATCTCCTTGCAGTCCAAGGGACTCTCAAGAGTCTTCTCCAACACCACAGTTCAAAAGCGTCAATTCTTCAGTGCTCAGCTTTCTTTATAGTCCAACTCCCACATCCATACATGACCACTGGAAAAGCCATAGCTTTGACTAGATAGACCTTTGTTGCCAAAGTAATGTCTCTGCTTTTTGTTGTTTTTGTTTAAAAAAGGCCTTTATTCATTTTTGATCAGGGAAAGGACAATCTCAATGTCAACTTGTTACCTAATCATAAATTTGAACTTACAAGATTTACTGCCCTAAAGACACTGCACCCAACTTTTGACAACATAACTTAAAATGAAAATCTCCTTTCTGTACCCTAAGGTTGCACATTGAAAGAATAAACAGTCCCTTGCAACAGCCAACAGTGATACTTGGCTTAGGTTTAAGGTCAAATAGCAAAAGAGGAGCAAAACAAGGCCAAAAGCATTATAACTTGATAGCCCATCAAGTACAAATATCACTGGAATAAAGAAAGTTGCAGGCACCAAAGAAAACAAGAGGCAGGTTCATTAGCATAAAAAAATTTACACTTGGTTGAAGGTGAGGTGAACTATTCCACAAGTAAACATGTATGCCAATCCAAATGGCGAACATGAAACCAAAGCAACAAAACCGAAAACATTAAGCTCAGTTAACTACACTGAATGTGAAATTCAAAACTTGAACTTATCTAGGATATCCTCCCAAATCTAGAGCTAAGAAGTTTTCTTTTTAACGCACCAGGAAGATCTGTTGTAATGACATGACTTGGTCACACTGAAGACTTGTATTTACATAAGAATCAAGGGTCATCCTTCTCCATTACTCTTTGTCTGAATGTGAGTATGCTCAACTACTCAGCCTATGCACTAACCGCATAAAAAAATGACTGAAACCTACTACCCATGCCTTCTAAGAACTCACATCATGTAACAGTTAACACCCAGTACAGCTTCCTAACAATGCCCCAAGAGAAAACATTTTGTTCAGTTTGGTGCTTGCTGTGACATAAAACCAACAGAATAGTATACAATTAATTTACTCAGTTTACTACTTCAAATCTTGTAATCTAACTTTTGTTCAAACTTCATACCTATCTGCCAAAACTGTGTAAAATCTAACCATATCTGATATTCTTAACCTGTAGCTCCCATAACACAGTTTAAGCCCCCCCCCCCACCTCGCAATGGGTATATCTGGACATTTTAATCAAGAAAAAAAGTTATTGTATTATGATTAGTCAAAGCTCTTTCTAGCAGACCACTGAATACAGCAAACCATTAAAAAATGCTTTTCTGGAGACAAGAACAAAGCAAAACATTTTCTTCATAAAAGGAGCTACCAGCATGCTTTGTGCCATTAAACATTTATTTTTCAAAATATAACCAAAGACTCATGGTCTACTAGAAAGCTCCCACTAATCACAACAGTATAACTATGCCACAGAAACTGTCATGACAATGTCTCCAGATAGGCAGAGAGGAAAACAACATTAAAGGTTATGATGGAAGCCTCAGTTAGAGACAAAAATGAAGTCTTAAGAGCATAGAATACATCTAACAAAAAAGGGGAACAGAGCAGACACTGTAGCTGGCTATTCATAAAGGACCACAGTTTTCTCCTCTTCCTATGGAGCAAGACTCCCTACAAAATAAACTGTGCGTTAATTATTGCTTATTTAAAATAACACTTTTACAGAGCTATTTAGTACCTGACGCAAAAACAATCACATAAGGAAGCATTTATTTGAGGTTTAACATGTAATCATACAAATAAAGTTTGTATAAACACAAGTCCACAGAGTCATAACACAGATAGCAAAAGACAAAGTAAAAACAAAGAAAACTAACTGGTGGCTATATACAGTTGGACACAAATTGTGTCTTGTACACTAGAAAGTCTTTTACAAAATAATCATCTTAGATCAACAGAAGACCAATCTTCAATGTCCTCCTGCAAGATGGTACGTTAGCAATCTCTTCCTGTTTTCTCCAGCATCCCTTTTAATATGGCTGGCAATTATTTTGGTGATTGCCACCGCCTCAGATGCCTTGCCCTAAGTGCTCTGTTGGCCTCGGCCACGACCCCTAGCGCCTCCTCGCCCACCAGCTGCAGCACCTCTTCCTCCCTTGTCTTGTTGCTGTTGCTGCCTATATACCTCTCTGGGTTGTGCGACTTTGATTTCACACTTCCCAGAACCAATTTGATGGTATCTGCTTTCTAACAATGTCTTTACTGGCTCCTCGTCTGTATATGTAATAAAGCAAAATCCTCTTCTTTCATTTGTTTTTGTATCCATAGGAAGTTTAATATTTTCAATCTCTCCAAAGGCTCCAAAATATTCTTTAATTTGTTCCTCCGAAGTATCTGGGCTCAATCCACCCACGAAAACCTTTTTGGGGGGTTCCTTCCCCCTTAAACCTTTGGCCCATTTAGGGTCTATCAATTTGCCATCCAGTTTGTGTTCTTTCAGTTCCAAAACTTTATCAACACTAGCAGCATCCTTGAAAAGCACAAATCCAAATCCTCGTGATCTTCCAGTAACAGGATCTGTTTTAATCGTGCAATCCACAACTTCCCCAAATCGAGACGAATATTCAGTCAGGTCTTTCTTGCTTGTATCCCGTTTCAAGCCTCCAATAAACATTTTACCGTCATCCTGCTGGTTCTTGCTCACGTTGATCGTGGATCCCTCTGCGAACTCCTCTCTGTTGCTGTCTTCCACAGCGGCGGAGTGGTCGGCCGGAGGGTGCTGGCGCGCAGACCGAGTCGCGGCGGCGGCGGCGGCGAGCGTTGTATGGAGCTGGATTTAAAACGGCGGCGGAAGAGACCATGTCTCTGCTTTTTAATATGCTGTCTAGGTTGGCCGTAACTTTTATTTCCAAGGAGCAAGTGTCTTTTAACTTCATGGCTGCAGTCACCATCTGCAGTGATTTTGGAGCTGCCCATAATAAAGTCAGCCACGGTTTCCCCATCTATTTGCCATGAAGTGATGGGACCAGATGCCATGATCTTAGTTTTCTGAATGTTGAGTTTTAAGCCAACTTTTTCACTCTCCTCTTTCACTTTCATCAAGAGGCTCTTCAGTTCTTCTTTGCTTTCTGCCATAAGGGTGCTGTCATCTGCTTATCTGAGGTTATTTATATTTCTCCCAGCAATCTCGATTCCAGCTTGTGCTTCCTCCAGCCCAGCATTTCTCATGATGTACTCTGCATATAAGTTAAATAAACAGGGTGACAATATATAGCCTTGACATACTCCTTTCCTGATTTGGAACCAGTCTGTTGTTCCATGTTCAGTTCTAACTGTTGCTTCTTGACCTGCATACAGATTTCTTAGGAGGCAGGTCAGGTGGTCTGGTATTCCCATCTCTTTAAGATATTACCAGTCATTGCTAATTTCATTTTTATGTTATACTCAGACATTTACTGGAGAAGGCAATGGCAACCCACTCCAGTACTCTTGCCTGGAAAATCAAATGGACAGAGGAGCCTGGTGGGCTGCAGTCCATGGGATTGCAAAGAGTCGCACACGACTGAGCGACTTCACTTTCACTTTTCACTTTCATGCACTGGAGAAGGAAATGGCAACCCACTCCAGTGTTCTTGCCTGGAGAATCCCAGGGACAGAGGAGCCTGACAGGCTACAGTCAATGGATTTGCTGAAGAGTAGGACATGACTTAGCAACTAAAAAACAATACCATAAATATTAAAACTCTTAAGTACTCCTCAATTATAGGGCTTATTTTTATTTTTTACTCTTAGGAAAGTTATGCCAAGAATTTTTGGAGTGGGGTGGACTTATGACAGCCCATTTTGTAAAATGTACATTGTATTCTGGGTGAGTCATGTTCCCTGAAATCCTGTAAACTTAATGTCCTATGTGAGATATACACGAATGGATAGAGTGAATAAACAAAAGAGAAATACATACTTTAGACTATTTCCTCTAAGATTTATTTCTAGGAAAAACTGTTAAGGAAAAGGAAAAGAGTGGATCAGAGGATGAGATGGTTAGATGGCTTCATCAACTCAATGGAGGTGAATTTGAGCAAAGTCTGGGAGATCGGGAAGGAAACAGAAGCCTGGCATACTGCAGTCCATGGGGTCGCAAAGCGTCGGACACCACCTAGCGACTGAACAAAGCTGTTAAGATAGTTCATGTTCTTACACATTGAATTTGCAAGTATTTACTGTCTTCTGATTTACACACATATGTTTATATGAGAATTGATTGCTTTACAAAATGAAGTTAGCAAGTCTTACTTACATAGCTTTTAAATTAATGGTATTTTAATGGAGTGTGCTCTTGAGATCAGAATTGGGATATGTTACCACCAGGGATATAGGAAAGAAGATGTAATTTCAGTGATTCTAAACTAAATATATTTGCTTTATACCATAGGTGCTATAATTCCACATACATCAAAATTTCGTAGTTCTAAAAAAAAATTCCTGAACTTTCTGTCTCTGGAATTATGAGTTATTATTGGCATGTACAATATTACTTATTCCATTATTTCACAAATATATTATTTTCTGAATTTACTTCAGGAATATTTCATGATTTGAACATTTAAAAAATTGAATTATGTTGCAAAAAATCAGGACCTAAGTGAAACAGTCCTTCATTTGTCAATCGTACCTCAAAATCCACATCGCCAAAACAGCCACATGTTGCACAAGGACCAACAATTTTCAAAATATCTTCTTTGTTTGCATTTTGGATTGTGAATTTAGGCAGAAAGGGGTCCCACTTCTGTGCAACATAACCAACTATAGAACCAGGAGGGGCTTGGATTTCTAACTGTAGGAAGAGATAATAATAAAATAAGATTTCCTAAGTTACTGTATTTTAATTTTACTATAATGTCTGCTTACTTCTAAACAGTATATAAAAGATTCTAAATATCTGCTTCTGTGGATTTTTAAAATAATTTTTAGAAACAAAGAAATTCACTGTATAGATATGTGTTCCTCAGGATTCACTAAAAGTCCATGTCTTTGATCTTCATTCCCTGAGGAGAACCTACCCCAGGCCTGTCTTCTGACCCTGGGGTACTGGCTTCTTTGCCATGTTTATTCCAAGTACAATAGTTGGCCAAGCATTGAAGTTGTTTCCTATGATATGCTTCATATTTATCCCCTCTTGGTTGTTGTCACAACACACATCTGTTTTTAAGCCTCACTTCTTGATTCTTATCATTTTTTTTCCTCTTCGATTTGTCAACTTCAGCTTTTCTGTACTAACAAATGCTTCTTGGAGAGTTACACACCAATTTGATTTCTGTTTCATTTTGTCCAAAGCATTAAAAGAATATCATTTGCATTTTCAAAGCTGACTAGTATATTGCCCCTTATCATTTATCCCCCTAATTTCTTAATTGTCCATAATACTGTATTTCAACATATTTATTTAGTCAATTCAAATACTTTGTATTAATAAAAGAAGCTGGAATTGGGTGAAAATGATGAATGTTGTTTGCTTTTAAATCAAGCCAACTCTCTATCACCTGATCTCCTTTTGTCTTTTCTTCCTTGTTAAGTTCATAGTTTTATGTGCATATCTGTAGTGTTTTTGGATAGACAAAGGTATTCTCAACAAGACTTTTTAGAATTACATAGATTTTTCCTAGGATCACCTCTAAAGTAACTGATTTGATTTCAACCAAATTAAAAATATATTAATCAGTATAAGGATGCATCTTATGTTTAATTTATGTGACATGGGGTTACTTTGAAATAAAATGTTAATTGTCAGAAATGTTATAATGGGTGTATATTCTGGGTTATACTGACTTTAGCATCTTGGGGCATATTAGATCTTGAATATTCCCAGTAGATGGATAAAAATTCTTGGGCTGCAAGAATTTGAGTACCTTATCAATCCAATCACTTGACCAGATAATTGTCTATAAAGAGTTTCAGAATTAGCTTCAACATATATTGTTAGAAACTTCTCTACTTAAGGAGAGTTCCATATTAATATTTACTTCCCATTGTGCTAAGTAGAATATTTATACATAGGCCCTCAATAAAGAAACTTGGGCTTGAAAAAAGATACCTGGATCAAATCCCTCTTATGATATATTCTAGATGTGTGATCATAGGTGAGAAACCTCTAAGCCTCAGTTTCCTCCATTGCAAAATGTAGAGAGTAAAATCTATTTCTTCTCACTTAGAGGTTCCTGATATCAAAGATATCAAAGTAAGTATATATTCTACATAAACTTACCTGCATCATGTCCATGAAAGTTATTACTATAGATTTACTAAAAGGTGATGAAAATCTATTATTATTAAAATATAATAATCAAATGATTCCCTCTAGAAGAATAACACAGTCTTTGCTGAACCTTGAAGTTTGTCATAAATGGGTAAATGGAACGTGAGATTCTGTTCTAAAAATAATACTGACCCAAGAGATTCCTTTAGGAGAGTTTAGTATCACTCAGCACTCTCTGAACTTTGTACCAATGAGAAGATGAAGAGTAGATCTGCTTAATAGTGGAACTTACAGATATTACCTAGCTAATACAGAGATTCAGGAGGATGTGTCTCATTTACATGATGCATGAGCTGTCTTTCCAAATTAACACCACGGAAGCCACTATAGTTTTTCATTGGAAATGAAAATAAGTTGTTCTGATCTTAAAGGAGCAACATTCTAATTCAACCAATTGAAAGGTAAATGGCCTGGTATCGCCAGCTGAATGTCATTTATTAAAGAAATAATTGCTAATCTTTCCAACTGTGGAAAATTAAAGCACACCCAGGTCAGTAACTAACCTCTTGTAGGTAGCAAGGGCACCAGCAGCTGTTACACCTCAAGGGCCTGTTGACTGTAATCACCTCTTGACCTGAGTTATCGGTGATCTTCAGAATGCATGATCGCAGAGTGGAACAGAAAGTACGGTTGAAGCAGATGCTTTCCTCCACTGCAAAGTATATTCTTTGTCCCAAGCTGTTTTTAATCTCATATTTGTTGGCGGTCTCAGTGCCTAATATCACTAATGGAGCAAAAAAAAATTTATCAAAATCATGCTACTGCTTAGGATCAGACCTTTCTATGAGTAAACATCATAGTATTATTAAATAAAGCGGCTTGACGGATTAGTTATTAAGTACATAGTATCTTCTTCAGATGTATCTATCTCTGTACTCTAAATGTTGAGGATTTAGCCATAGAAATCAAAGTAGACTCTGTGAACAGAGCTGTGGAGTTGATAAATTCTGATTCCTGTTATACGACTTACATGGACACTTGTACTTTTCAACTAGGGGAGCAATGCTCTAAAGAAGAATCATACTCAAATTATTCTGTCATTGTTATGGAATTTACTGGGACAACTCACAGTGATGCTAATGCTTCTGTCTAAAAATCTATCTGGTACTATATCTACAGCTTCATGCTATCCATTTATTTCAGTTTTGACATACCTGAGGCGTCATATAGAAGATTAAGGGCGAACATACTTAAGTAATTTGAGTATTCATCATTATAAATTTGTGCCCTGTTAAATGATTTGGTTTTTGATGAATCACTGACAGTATGATAAAACAGTAGAACTTTATTTTGATGTTTTTTTATTGGTCTCAGCCTCAATTTCCATGTCTGAAATTGTTAAGAAAATTTAAATTATTAGCAGCCATGGAAATGACTAAATAGCTTTTATTACTTCAAGATTAAAAATAATGTTACATTCCTTGGAGAAGGAAATGGCAACCCACTCCAGTATTCTTGCCTGGAAAAGTGCATGGACAGAGGAGCCTGGCGGGCTGCAGTACATGGGGTTACGTGGCTGAGCATGTGTGCACGAGGGTGGAGGGAGATGGGTGGGTAGCAATAAAGTGGTAGAACTAAAATAATAATAATAATAATAATAATAATAATGTTACATTCCTAATGACAATATCATCAACGATTTGGGGAGTTTAATACTTTTAGGCTTATCTATATCACACTAATAATTTTATTTTCAATGGGAGAGAGGTCCAAGAGGGTGGGGACATATGTATACCCATGGCAGATTCATGTTGGTGTTTGACAGAAAACAACACAAGTCTGTAAAGCAATTATCCTCAATTAAAAAATAAAAAAAGAGAAGCTTTTCCCAGGAAAAAATAGACCTAGTGCTCTTTTTTATTTAATTCTATCCTAAATATTCTAAATATTTAACTTTATTGTTTAGAAACTACTTAGTTTTACAATTTTAGTAATTACAGAATGTACTTACTTCCAAGAAGTTCCACCTGCTGGTGTATAATAATCAGGTCTAACTGTTAAAAGATGACATGAAGGAAATAAAAAATATTACATCACAGGTCTTTGAAAACCTTTGCAGCTATTACTATTAACCTGTTTACTGGACTACATGAAATTAGGTGTTTTTCATGTTCTCTGTGAGGAAAATGGTGGAAAACAACTTACATTTTATAATGAAGGAAAAAAAAGCTAACATGGTTTTTACTCAAGTAAAAATTACAAGAATCTTGAAAATTTCAAAGCAAAATTGCTCTGAATAAGACTAGGAACTGTGGTCAGCTCTGAGTTTTCCTGTGGTAATAAGATAGCTCTTGGAAATTACACCAGTACCCTTGAGAATATTTTTAAACAGTCCCTGAATAAGAATGCCTATAAAGTTTTAAACTTCTTTCTCATTCTCTTTCTTTAAAGGAAATGAACCAAGAGGATGCAGACAGTAATGAACTGCACGCCTTGCCTCTCCTCTCAGCCCAAACTCTTCCACTCTGTCATGTAGTGACTCATTCCTGACTGTGATGGAAAGTCTGTTAAAGCTGAGAAAGGCTATTCTTTAAGTTCTTTTTTCAGTCACACTTTTCTTTCAACTAAGGGAAACAAAATCCATAAATCCTGTCAACAAAATACCAGTTTAAGCAGAAAAGAGTTAAGCTTCTAAATGCATGACACATTAAAACTTGCCTATGCAATTAGAAATGAAGTTAATTTATAGAGATAAATCAGTCTCAGGTAGTTGAGACATGACTATGTTAAATAGCATATAATATAAATGGTTTTTTAAAGGAAATATTTAAAATATGTTCTTAGAATGAATTTTATCTGTGTATATTTTAATTTTCATATTCAGCACTTAAAGATTCACTAAGGTAAAATCATGAACACTGAATACAGTACTGATTATCGCCTTTTTGAATGCTTCATTTTCTATTTTGCCTTAAAATTTTCACTTTATTCTTCTTTCACATTAACAAACTCACTGATAACTTCCAAATAAATGTAGTAATTGCTAACATTTGGAATTGATTGGGCAATCACAAACCCAAAAAATATGAAATTATCTTATTCTTTCTTTCTTCTTTTATATCCTGAGGTAGAGGTAAAAATTAGTATCATTTCTTCTTATTATTGATAAAAGTGTACATATGCCCTCCTTTCCAAGATTCACAAACATATTTTTTACAAAAATAATTTATGATATAAGATGTTTTTGACCATATTTAAACAGCTACGACAAAAGCTGTAAGAAGTCTTAGAGCTGGTCTTTGTCATGTAGTGTTGTTAAGTTCTGTTTTCCTCTTTTGAGGAAAGAGGAGGGTTGGCAGAGGAGGGACACGCCCGGTTGTTTAGCAGTGGATCTGTGTAGGCTCAGACGGTAAAGTGTCTGCCTGCAACGAGGGGCACCCGGGTTTGATCCCCGGGCGGGGATGATGCCCTGGAGAAGGGAAGGGCTACCGCTTCAGTGTTCTTACCTGGAGAATTCCATGGACTGTAGCCTGGCGGGCGATATAGCTCATGGCGTATGGAAGAGTTGGACAGGACTGAGTGACTAACACCTTTTCCCCCCACTACGTAGGCATAACTTAGAGATGCAGAAGTAATTTTGAGGTGCGAAAGTAAGGTTTGAGTTTAGGAGCTTTGACTATTTATGTCATGGGTCAAGTCTCAGCCCTGAGCTTTAGAGGCTATTAGTTGAAAAGGGTGACTGTACGTCTCTAACATCTAGTAACAGTGGTTGTCTATCTAATGACTACCTTGAGGTTAGTCACTGTGCTAGATATTTGACGTAAGGTCTGACTTAGTCCTCACACACGTCAGAGAACGGGATATCATACACGTAACATGTGAGGAAACAATCCCAGAGGAAGTGGTTTTGCTCAAGAGCACAGAGCTTGCAAGTGGTTAGGCTGGGATATGAACCCAGGCAGTGATGCCATGGATTTCAACTTGCTCTCTACTCTGCTGTACCAGCATAACGTAACTAACCTTAGGAACTGGGAGAAACAATTCTTAAGTGACACTGTGGAACTTCTGAGTACCCTTCCTCCCTGTTTATGCTTATACTCACCCATCCTCTCTGATAACCTCAAATGTGATCTCTCTCTGTGGACAAACCTCCTGGATATGAGGGGTCCTGGTTTTGGCTGTTCTTCTAGTTTCCTTTAAGTAGTCCTAGGCCACTTATAAACTATGGTCCAAAAGAGCATTTTCCATCTTTTGCTATTAACTGATGGACCAGGAATTATTGGAAACTTTAAACAGATTGCATCCTGTATTCAGGTGTCAGGACAAGCAGAACACTGCTACAGTAAGAAAGCTTCAGAGTGGACCCCGAGTGACAGCCTGGGAAATGTATGCACCATCCACATGCATAATTTATTGGGTTTACAGGCATCAGTGATTCTGTTTAATATATGTATCGAGGTGGCCAAAAAGTTCATTTAGATTTTTCCATAACATGTTACAGAAAAACCCATAAGAAACTTTTGGTCAACCCAGCACTTCAAAATAAATGGAATCTTGCATGTGCCTTTATAAATGTTAACTCAGTACTCTGATCTGTAGGTGACTAAATAAAAGTTATCCTTTGATGCTTATAGGATAAAATATTATTGACTATTATGAATATGTTAATTTAACTTAGAACGAATAGAGTTCGATCCCTGGGTTGGGAAGATTCCCTGGAGAAGGAAATGGCAACCCACTCCAGTATTCTTGCCTGGAGAATGGACGGAGGAATCGGGCAGGCTACTTTCCATGTGGTCACAAAGAGTCAGACATGACTGAAGTGACTTAGGACAATCTATAATACATGAACAACATATATGTATACACATACATATGTAAATATATATGTATATTTTTATATGAAGTGTATATAAACATATACACAAACACACACACACACTTGCCACCTGGGGGTTTATTTTCAATTTGTTAGTGAAAACACGATTATCAATAGTTACTGGATAATCATGATTAAAAGAGTGGGTGATTTTTAAAATATTTACATTGAGATTTTAATTTGGATGCATTTTTATTGAATATTTTCCTGTTTGTTGAAGCATGCACTATTTTCAAACATTCATAATTTTATTGTGGTTTTTAGATAAAAGCTCACAAAATTCTTCATATATATATATATATATATATGTTTATGTTTCTCACAAACTGGAAGAATTAAACTTTTAAAATGCCTATTCATCCTGTTCTGTATGCACTGCTTTAAAGCAAATGTGTCCTTTTAGTATAAAGACTATAAAATCTATTCCCTTTGAAGGAAAATCCCCAGCAATTTGTGACATATTTTTTGTTTTCTGAAAAAGAGTACCAAAGGTATACATTTGGAAAACTGACTTTGTTTTAGAACTGAAGCCAGTGGGCTCACATCTCTATCAAATATGAAAAAAAAAAGTGTGTTCATGCCACGCATCTGGCTCCGGGTATGTCATCGTTCATGGATGGAAGAAGAATATGTGATGACCATATGTGATCATCACACCCCAGCCCTCTGGCACTGGTGTATCACTTTTATCCTTGGCGAAACCTTGTCTGACAACATTCCCAAACAGCTTGCAGCAGTTAATCAACCCTAGTCAGCTATTACAGCTGATCCTTTTTGCAGATGGAAGATGGTAGGTTAGCTTTTCCAGCTCTTTTACATATCTCCCTGAGCTCTCCAGCCTCTAAAGTACATTTGTCTGCCAGTGGGTTTCTGGAGAAAGCATCTGCAATTATAAACATTTTCCCAGGAACATATGCTATGTGCAGCTTAAACCCTATCAGGCATAACAGAAATCTCTTGCACCTTAAGGGAATTAACACAGAGATTTGATTTTGATAAAAGAGATAGACTTTATAGTTAGAAAGAGTGCCAAACAAGCTGAAAACTGAAGCACATGTGCTGATATCTCAATATTAGTGTAAGTGTATTTCTAATTTGGTGTAGGATAAATATAAAAGCATCAATAATATATACAAATATCAACTGCAACTTGTGTGCCATAAAATTCAGATGATGCTTCTTGGCTGACTTGTTATAGGCTTGAATCACTGCTTACCCTCCAGTGACTATACCAGTGACTATACGTAATAATAAGATGGTATTTCAAGCAAATTGGCCCAGAGATGGCAACAGTATCAGAAGACAGTAATGCTAACTTGATAGCTTGATTTCTCTTGGATTTCCATCCACCTTACCTTTTAAGATTCAGTTGACGATGTTAAGCTCTCAACTCACTGAGAAAGTCTCTCCTGAGTACTTTGATATTTAGCAACCTTCTCTTCTCTTTATTGTTTAGTCACTGAGCCTTGTCCAACTGTGTGCGACCCCACGGACTGTAGCTCAGGCAGCTCCTCTGTCCATGGGGTTTCCCAGGCAGTGATCCTGGAGCGGGTTGCCATTTCCTTCCCCAGGGGGTCTTCCCGATCCAGGGACTGAACCTGTGTCTCTTGTGTCTCCTGCACTGTAGTGGATTCTTTACCCCTTCAGCCTCCAGGGAAGCCCTCCCTTCTCTGTACACCTGCCCAAATTAAAAGTGTGCGCTTCTCCGGCTCTAGCACCCAGCCTCTCATTTTTTGTGTTTGCCAAAGAGGCTGCAGAATGTTTGGGTGAGAGGAACTAGGTTTTATACCATTTATGTGCCTTGATTATAACAGGTACTCAATTAATGTCCTTTAATTAAATAGCTGTAGGTGACTAGACATATTAGACAATTCCTCTAGGATTTAAATTTGCTGACACCTTGAGCAATGAGGAGAAGAAGGATAATGTGCTAAACAGCTCAATCAAAAATGTTTAGTCTTCTCTCTGTGTCAGGTAAATAAGGAAAATAGAAGTGGTTATAAAAGAAGGCAAAAGTTTCTTGCCAAGTAATAGAAATAAATAAAAGACAGATTGTATAACGCTTTTCTCACTTCAATAAGTTACTTGCTGAAGTTTTTAGTCTTGACTGGCAGGAAAGAAACCAAGTTTGTATTCGTCTTAAAGGGAAAGAACTTTGTAGAAATAGAGAGATAAAAGCACCTGGCTTAAATACTCTAGACCAGGAGGGAGGTTTCCTGGCGGAGGGGGAGCCCGCTGCCACGCTTGGTCCCCTGGATTGGAAGGTGCGATGTGAAAGCCGTGGTCTGGGTCTGAAGCTCCCGGAAGAAAGCCAGGTAGACCTCTGCTTCTTCGGCTCTGTGCATCTGCAAAAGAATGCCAGTCCCAGCCCATATGTAAATGTAGGCCATTTTATTTAGTCCGTCTTATAACATTTCCTGCTGCTTAATTCACAAGGTCGAGTGTCTCCCACCTAGCCTCTCACCTCAGCATCTCCTAGCCTCTCACTTCAGTGCCCCTTCCTTCATTTCCTATATTCGCTGTCACCACCACTTCACCTTGAAGCCAGAGAAAAAGGAATGTAGTTGTGAGAAAAAGCTGGATAATTTGGGCAAAATAAATCATGTTAGAAAATACGTTTTTTGAAAGCAAGTGAAACTTCTATTCAAAGAACTGAAAGATTATAAACTACAAATGTAAAATCAATGACCAAAGAAACTCGGCATTCTCATAAAAGGATGATCTTAGACATAGAGTTTGAATCATACTCAATGACTTTTGAATATATTCTCCCTTCCTCAAATATTATGAAGTTGCCTCATGATTTCCGAGATTATTTTCTCTCTTTTCATCAGTCATACCGCTATGCATAGATTTAATTCAGTGGTTCTTACACTTTAGCCTGAAGCAGAACCAGCCAGCCTGCCTCTAAGTTGTTTCCGTCGTGTCCAGCTCTTTGTGACCCCATGGACTATGGCCCACCAGGCTCCTCTGTCCATGGGTTTCTCCAGGCAAGAATACTGGAGTGGGTTGCCATTTCCTTCTCCAGGGGATCTTCCCAACCCAGGGATCGAACCCACATCTCTTATGTCTTCTGCACTGGCAGATGGGTTCTTTACCTCTAGTGCCACCTGGGAAGACCGCAAACCACCTGGGAGGCCTTAGTAAAGCACACATTTCTGGGCTCACTCCAGACTTCCCGGTTCAGTGGCTGGAGTGGGTATGGAGCTTGAGAATTTGCAGTTCTAATAAGTTCCTAGGTAAACTAATGCTGCTGGACCGACAATATATACTTTGAGAACTAATGAGAATATTTGAAACTAGTTTATGAGATCCTTAAGGGCAGTGTAATATCTAAATTTAGCTGTGATTTCTCAACAAGCATCCAAAATCTTTCTGATTTACTACAAAGTGTAAATCCCTTTGTAGCTCATCCAGCATTATACAAGATAAAATAATTACAAAATTCTAAAATGTTTGGCTTTGAGTTTTCAAATAATCACCTGTTTTCTATATTATTGCCAGGTAAAATTGTTACTATTACGATTATCTCTTAGGTAGATATCTATTAGATTGAAATTTGGAAACTTGCTATTTATCCTGCATTAGTCTGAAGCCCATGTGATATTATGCATATGACCTATAAATGGTACATGCAAAATTCTTCTTTTTCATTAAGAATATACTTTATTACCTTTCTACTATTATTTTTCCCTTTTCTTCCCACATGACCACCTTTGACTATTTTCCTCATTAGATACCGTTAATTTTTTCAAGACTATCTGTGTTTTCATTTCTCATCTTTATTAAGTCAACTTGTCAGACATCTCACATCTGCATTCATTACATTTACATGTTGCTGTTTTAGATTGAGTGTATGTGTAGAGCAAGGTTCATGATAGGTGTTTTCAAATATCAGAGGAGCCATTATGAAGAAAAGTAACTTAGTGGATGAGATTGTTAGATGGTATCATCGACACAATGAACATTCATTAGAGCAAATTCTGGGAGACAGTGAAGGACAGGGAAGCCTGGCATGCTTTAGTCCATGGAGTCACAAAGACTCAGACAAGACTCAGCTACTGAACAGTGATGAACAACAAACTTAGACTATTTTGAAGACCTATGAATGGGAAGGACAAGGAAAACTGGTTCTGGATTAATAGGAGGAAGATATTTATGACAGCTGCACAAACATTTGGATAAGCATTCCTTGTACTTATACTAAAATTGGAGTAACAGCTTTATAATTCACAGTAGATTTAAATGGTCTCTCTCAAGCACTGACACCTAAGTCCATGTAATTTGTGTGTGTGTGTTGAAGGGAAGTATTATTCTGAATCTTTCAAACCTCTAAAGAGCAAATTTGAAGAAAGGACTGATTTTCTTTTGAGTAGTATTCATTCCTCTTCATTCATTGTTTCCCAAACATATCCTGTATGAGCACTCGAGAGGGATTAAACAAACAAACAAAAAAAAATGGTGAACAAATCTAGGCTCCAAGCTGTGGTCCTTTGGACACTAACATAGACTGTTACTGGGAACAACTGGCTCATTAAGGTCTTGTGTACATTTGATGTTAGTGAGGGACATTAATTGCCAGATGGTCCAATTATTATTTAACCATGGGGTTGTGGGAGTAGACAAAATGGATCTCTAAGATTATACTAGTCTGACATTTAGAATTTGGACATGCTTTAGGGGTATGACTGAATGGAAACAATCTTGTCGTTTGGCCCCATGAAAATAGAGCCCCATAGTGACAGAGTTATAGCAATTTGCTTCCCCAAAGGCTCCATCCTGAACTCCTCTCAGGTTTGGGACAGACACAAAGGATATAGGTTTCAGAATTCCTCCTGCTCTAGGGAAAGGGGCCTGAATGAGAACCCCTCCTCAAGAGTGAGTCGCTGGGAAAACTGAGAGCAAGACTGTGTCAGATTGGGGAGAGACGTGAATGCCACCCTAGTAATAGCACCTGGAAAACAATAAAAGGGGCCACGCATCCTTTCATTGGCAGTAGGGCCCAAAGCGCTGTTGTTATTGACTTTCAGAGGAACGGAGACAAAACTGTGATCTGGGGAACACTAGTTTAAAATGATAAAATTCAGAATAGTGCTTCACCTTGGAGATGGAGGTGTGTGGCTATTGAATAGTAAGGGACCTTTATGAGCTGCCAGAAATATTTTATGTCTTGATCTCTTGATCTTGGGTAGTGGCTACACAAGTGTATCCTGATTTTAAAAATCACAGCTTAAGTTTGGTGCCTTTTATGGACTTAACTGTGCCACATTATCCTTCAATTGGTAAAAAAAAAAAAAAATGTGGGATTAATTTCTAACAACAACTGATAAAGGTTTATTAGATTCTCTTTTTCAATTTTATTGTTAAAATGATTAGCGAATTACTCCAATTTTATCTTGTAAGTTAATTTGCTGTGACAGGAAGTGGTGGGTTACTGAATGTCTGGCAACTCATTCTACATTCCTCACATAGGTCTTTAGACTTCATGGCATTAATGCACTGTGGCCCAGATCACATCCAAAGTCTTTACTAGGAAGTAGAGACTCAGTCAGACACTGCTGAGAACACCAGTCTGAGGTCACTTGCTTGCCCTTCTGGATTTTGGCTTACATTGGAGCAGCAGACGCTTTGAAGATCTAAACTGGAGCTTCTGTTCCGTTTAGATCATCCTGGGTGTTCATAAATTGTGTTTGTTTAGACTAAACTAGGGGACTTCAGACCACACAAATATTTCTTCTGTTCTAATGGCATCCAATGTCCAGACTGTCCTTTGATTTAGTGGTGCTGACGGAACTGCCGGCGAAATGTGTGAAATGTCCAACTAGCCTGTATTCCCTGGGAAAATGCCAACTGCCAATACAGATTAATGGGCCAGAGGACATCATGAAGGTATAAATAATGTCTTTAAATCTATTTGAATAAAACTCCACAAAAATATGATATAGTGACTTGCCCCCAAAACAAGATTCCTAATTCAAAAGGAAACTTCATTTTTCACTTCTTTTAAGTACTAAAGGGTCCTCTCACAGATATTTTACCCACTTTATCTGTTAAATATTTTGACTGGGTTGCAGAAACAGTGTTAGTTGTCTACTTAAAGTCTTACCTCTTAAATTTAGTCTTGAGCCCTTATCATTACTGAACATCACTGCTTTTTTTGGTAGGTTAATCATATTTTGATCATAATATTGCTTTCTAGTCACAAGTTTCTTCAAAGACTACGACCACCAGTTGAAGAAGAAACTCCTTTGAATTTCTCTCTGGCTTTGAATTTCTATCTACTCTTTTAAAAATGTATAACTAGCTTATAAATATTTCACATCCGCTGCAACTCTTTACCTTACAGGCTACAGTTGCTGCTGTAACTCTTGCTTGATAAAGTGATGAAACATTTTGGACTGAGTCGTAGTGTCAGTCTTAAATGAAGGAAAGAACGTGCCAAGATTTTGTCTTCAAATATAAAAATGAGACACACATATATTAAAATTCATGATTTTGAAGTTTCATGTCTATATTTTACAATTTGCTTGAGCTTTCCCAGTGATACTTAGAGACTAGTGTAGTGACAAAAAGTGGAAAAAAAAATTACTTCCTTTGTTCCAAGTTAAATAGCATCCTAAGTGTATTTTGACAAAGGAAGCAAATAAGTGTACACATTTCTCTAATGTGGATCATTAATTTAATTTAGGATATTTTAAATCGGTGGACTCTGTTAATCCTATTTGTAATTAGGTTAAAAGGTTTCCATCAATTATAGTGATCACAATTCTTCATGATAAAACTTCATTAGAGCCTAGAGTTTAATGGCTTCTTCTGATAATGGAAAGAAAACACATTATAATTTCATTTTTATATCATTTCACAAGTGTTTTTAGTGAGATTGCAACTCATTACCTAAAAGCAGCATATCCCTTGTCTTCTGAGAAGTTCTTTAAGTGAGACAGCACTAATGAGATTTACATTTTCAGGGATGTGAGGAGAATTTACCAGTCCCCCCTCCCAAAGTCTTTAACTAATCTGTTTGCTTAAATTAGTTTCTGTTTACTTTTTATATATAATTTACCATCAAATAAATTTTCAAAGATTTTTGCTTCATTGTTCAGAAATATTTGCTTCTAGTCCATTAAATTTACTAAGATCTCCTGAGAACACACATTTAATTCTCTATAATAAATGGCTGTATCACATATTTTAAATAGCAAATAGGAAATTTTAAAATATTGAACTATAACACTCTTAACTTATGTATGAAAAGTTCTCTACCAATCTCTTTAAACTGGAAATATCAGCTTGTGTTTGGCATTAAATATTCCCATTCTAAATTTTGTTCTGCAGCTTTTCTTAT